TTGGCCTGATGTAGCCATTCTCAATGCTGATTAGGAAGCGTGAATTTTGTTGAGCGGGGTGCCAATTATTTAGTGTGTCTTACATTAGCCAGCTCAATGTAACTCTAAAGGTTGGGGTTGCCTTTTGTAGGCTACCGAGTTCAGACAGTAGCCGGTGTATCTCTGTCCTCCTTAAATCCAGAATATGCCCGTATTTCCATAGAAATGATAATTTGCTCAATTTTTCGAACTCATGCGGATCACGTTGAAAAATCTTGCGTTAAGTAAGCCTGGATTCGGTATCTTTCATAAGGAAGTTTAGATAGATGACGATTTGTTTGACACTGTTGAACCAAAACAACCAAGAAAACGAATTTTATTTATTCTACAGCAAAAAGAAACATTTGAGGTAGTATAGACCGGTAAACGGCCAAACCGTTCCGTTGTTGCATCCGAAAGCATATTTATCCTCCACCAGCTAGAATAATACGTTTATATTTTCGCATTTTTCCAGCTTTATGTGACGCTGTGTGAAAATGATATAACGTGAAAGGGTTCAGTAATAAAATTACTTTTGCTTGTTAGTCACAGAATTGAAAAAAGCGATAATTAAAAGAAATAAAAAATCACTTGAAGATAATAAACTTTTCTCTTCAACATAAAAATCTTGTTGATCTGTAATTCTATATCATTTCACACAACGATCGATTCAGGAAGATAAGCGAACTGCTGAGAGGGCGCGCTGTGGTAAATAAATTTATACTAGTAGCGGAAGATTTCACTATTTTTATTACCCTCAATCATGCTTATCAGTAGCTTGCATTTTCCTTGAATAAAATCAAGATTAGTTGTGGAGACTTACTTCAATGAGACGTTCTGAGTTATTGAAACCGAAGTTGGAAGCGACAGTCTCCATGCTTTGATTGGGATAATAAAGTTGCGAGACAGCTTGGTATGAGAAGTAAGGGTGTCCTTGATAGATATAAACATTTTGTTCTATATTGCAGTCGTAATGGCTTAAGAGCTCCTCATACAGTCTTCCAGTCTAAAAATCAAAGTCTTAGACAATTTTTATTCTTCTCAAAGATAATGTTGAACTCTAGAAAGAATTATTCGAAATATCTGACTAACATAATTGCAAATTGCAAACAGAGTCAGATTCCTGAACGTTGCATTAAAATGCGCCTCCGGAGCAACGTATTTGAAATCGTCACATATCTCTCCATACGAAAAACACAACGAGGAAAGCTGAAAGAGCTTGAAAAATTTTGATTGTCAACTAAAAGAAGGCTTACCGCAACAATCAAATGCCAAAACATGGGGCTTTCGATGATTTATTAGTTGGTGATGACTTTTATACGTCGTACACAGCTATAGAGCAAAATTGAGGGGGTGGGTCTAATGTCCTTTCAAAAGTTATCAAAAATATTCTCGCAGCGCCAGATTTCTGATGGAGTCAGCAAAATTCACGAACTCAATCAATTTCTGCAGCTATTGAATCTGCCACAAATTTTGCAAATGCCGTGTGATAAATCAGTCAAAGCCAAATTTTGTACAGAGTACACTCGATTGAAATTCCACTAAATTTACGTCAGGCTCCCATTTCCATGAAGTGCGTCGAAGGATGCATCTGCAAACAAAAAAGGATGTGCAAATTTCTTGAGAATATACTAGACAGATTTATTTTGATCTCAAAAAAAAGGCCTCCATAGGCAATACATGACTCAATGTTCAACAGCTGAAAGTACATTCAACGCTTTTCCTGGACGTTTATAAGCACGAGCACATTATCACTAGCGACGTCATTTTTCTTCTCATGTTTCCAAATAAAAACATTATTATTGCAGATCGCATAATTTGTCAGTTGTGTCGTTATCCGAGTAAGAATTAGCACCAAGCATTTAGCATCAAGCACTGCTAAATCATTATTGTTTGTAACATCCTCCTTTGAAAAATTAAACTTAAATGATCAAGTATGGGTAAGAGTAAAGCCCTACACTTTTGACAACATTGTTGCCCTTTAAATCTGAACTTGTTGTAGGTTATTTAGTACGTAATTTTCTTGCGTAGAAATTTTAACGTTCTGCATAAGTATTAAACTGTTGTAGCTGTTTATTGAGAACTGACTATGTTCAAAAACTTAATGCCCATCCAGACACCTGAGTGCTTTATCAACTGTGACGATTGGCTGCAATCTAAAGCTTCTTTTATGTTTGCAAAGAGGATTTTGTGTTGAAAGTACGCCAAGGATATAGGATTTATACATAGGTGTCTACCAGATCATTGAATACAAATCTTATCTGGATGCTTCCGGTTGTTTTTCCAATAAATAATACAGGCAATCATGCGTTCCGAGCTGAATTGTAAATCAACGATTTGTCTGCTTAGTCTAAGCAATTTTGCACTGAAATCCCTATGTGTTAACTTCCCTTGCAGGGTTGGGTTAAAATGTTACAGATTTTGAAATAGTCTAACTAACGCTCTCACTGGAAGAGAAACCTTTGAGGTTACAGCACACAATGAGTTGCTAAAGTGAAAACACATTGATTTTCGAACAACAGATTGGAATTTTCGCAGCACTTTCGCAGATTATCCTCCGACTCACCTGCGGAAACTTTGCGAAAGTGCTGCGGAAAACCACTTACTAGATTCCGCTTGTCCTGCGGAAGTCAATTTGTCTAAGTTGATAACCAGAAAAATCATACGCCCTACGAAGGGTTTTGTTTTAGCCCTCCCATGAAGGAAACAAGCTGTGTAATTCATAGTTTTTCGATTCCAATTGGCAAAAGAGCTAATGTATTTATGCGTGTAAAAAATAAGCTGGTTTTTTACAGATCAAAATATCCTTCACAAAATGACATGAGTCAGGAACTGTGGTGCGCCGAAGATTGTAATCACCAATTTTATATGTAGTATCCACCTCGAACTTAATTTAGCTCGATATGTAAATTAGTTTCACTTTTTGGAGGTTTAAGCTTAAACTGGAAGCTCCAGCCAAGGAATGTTGCTTCTTACCTTCGGAAGATACAGCGTACTTAGAGTCTAAAGATGGGTAGAGGACAATATGTTGGTGATAAGGAGGAACGCTGAGACAAAAGAAATTGTTTGAGTATCACAACTTTCTAGATCCACGTTAGGCTGCGTTCATAGATCCGAAAGTTCGGGAACAGTTTCAGCACAGCGCTCGAACTGGCCAAAAAGCCAGAAATAATAGACAGCTGCTCAAAACGAAAAAAAAATGACTTTCTTCAGTAAACACTCGCCGATGCACTCTTTATGCCGCTTGGCGTCAGCAATCTATACCATCTACTGTGCGCGGCGCACTTCGATGCGTTTGTCCTGGGAAATCCAGCCATCGCCACGACGAAGAAGAATAGCCAAGTTGTCCGCTCGCTCTTTGTGCTTTTCGGCTCAGCCTTACACAGTGGTCGAGGCGCTACGGTAACTGCGTCACGCGCGTGATTGTGGTAAAAATACGCAGTGGTAAGTCATTTGGTTAATCTCCCTTCTGGTTATCAAGAGCCGTTATTTTTTGACAAGATTAAATGCAGCAATACCAGCGTTTCACTACGGCGCAGCGGAACAGCTTGGAAGTGAAGTACCGGGAAGGGATGCCAATCTGCTTGTAAGAAGTTGAGAATGAATCTCTGGCACCATATTTTGAAGGCCTCCACAGATCTACGCTCGCTCATCAGTCTTCCCGCAGCAGGATAGTAACAACTTGTCGACATCCTTTTAGGGTTAGGCCGACTTTACATTCTGATGGCAGCTATATGAGAAGAAAAGTAGAGGCAGAAGAAACGTTAAGTGTTTTGAAACTTCAGTCAATAAACTGATTATTTATTAAAGCTTTTCTTCTTCCAAATGAATCAATCGATGTATATAAAAACAAAAATAAAGCTAACACACTAATCATTGAACCATGCGCAGACATAACGCTTCAAACTAAATATACGTTTGGATAATTCAAACACTTACGTGGAAAACCATGTAACCCCGCCGGGAATTCACATGTGGTCGTGCCTCTCCCTAGAGGGCATAAGTCTTCCAACTTTCCAAGCGGATTTCTCGCTCCACTTTCGAGGTCATGATTTCATACTCGTGCGATGGTGTGTCCGAAAGTCCGTTTTCACATGTCAATAAAATCTCAAGAAATCCCCAACCTTCCGCGGACACTGTCTTTGAAGACAACATGGACGAAATTTCATGTGGAGAAGGAAGCGCAAAACTTGGGGCCTGGTTTCTAGATGCCAATACTGCGTACCACGAACCAGGATGACCTTGGTTCATTGCTCTCAAGTCCTCAAAGGCACCGTCCACCCAGATTCAAGACTTCCATTATGTCGTTGGGGGGAGGGGGCCTCATGTCCCTACTTCCAACACGAATACGAGAACACCCGATATTCCCCATTCGGAAGAATCCGTGGAGCGGTCTTCGAAACAGGTTGGATGGCCGAGCAATGGGCGGGCATTAGTGAAGGAGCGTTGCCAAACCAGGGGTTTTTCGCTCTATCCATTATTCCGGAGCGAAGTTCTCGCTTCCGAAGCGAATCCATTGCAACATAGTCGTTGGCGTAGGGGGGGCCCACTATCGTATGCTCGTATGCTTCCAAAAAAAGACCATTTAGAGTGGACGTCTTTAAGAAGACCAATTCTGTGCGTTCCATGCACTAGGTCCCTCTGAAAAACGACTATTGAAGGGCGCCAATATCGCGCTGAAGATGGTCCTACACGGAGGGATGCCACCGTCCGGATTTTTTTATTTGAATTTTGCGCCTCTCAAGTTGGCATTTCGAACATTTTTAGATTGTTTGCGATTGTTTACCCAGCAGTGGGTTGCTAATTTCATCATTATTCACTACGCCAGTTTCTTTGAAAGTCGGGTGGTGGGTGGAGGAAGCTTTTCAGGAGTTTCTATAAGTAGTTTTGTTTAGTTTAGCAGTCTAAACTCCAATACATCATGCTCGCAAGCTTTAGAAGGTTTTCAATATTGACGAATATTCGAATATTTGTTTGGTGATGCTAAGTTGTCGTGAGAACCTCCAAGTTTATTTTTGAGATAAAAATGGCAGAAGGCGCACCACCCGCACCATCCGCATCTGGAGATGCTCCGCCAGCACTCACCGAAATGACCAGCAAAGATTATTATTTCGATTCGTATGCGCACTTTGGAATTCATGAGGTTTCACAGCCCCATTTCCTCCGCTATTATCTCAAATTCGTGATTTTGCAGGAGATGTTGAAAGACGAAGTTAGAACTGTCACGTATCGCAACTCAATATACCACAACAAACACTTGTTCAAAGACAAGATCGTTATGGATGTTGGATCAGGAACTGGCATCCTTTCCATGTTCGCTGCCCGTGCTGGTGCTAAGAAAGTGTTTGCTGTGAGTACTTTTTTGTATTTTTTCAATATTCTATGTTCGACAAGCAGGTTTCTCAGGTTTCTTTGCGTTTTTCCTTTGCTTTGAAAATCACTGTTTGGCTGCTGGATGGCTCGATATTCACATTTCGAGCACGCATGACTAAGCAAGCTTGGCATGCTGCATTTTTTTTGAAAGCGAAAGCTTAGACATTCACTTGCTCTAATCTCGCAAGGGAAGGATACTTTGTTGAAATGGCCTTCACATGTAAAATATGTATTGCTTTGATGGGCATGCATCGCTCCAAAATCTCTTCAGTATCTGCAAAGCGCATTTGCAAGAGAAAATTATGGGAATCCTTTGGAGCGAAGAACCCGCGGCTAAAATAAGACCATTCATATCTCACATTCGAATTCAAGGAGGCGATATCAGGCATCTTATGCAGCGAATACTTCCTGTCTAGTACACTTATGCCTACCACTACCTTTTGAAACTCTGGAAAGCCATAAAAAGTTGTTTCGCCTTAGTTGCCCTTTTGAATCTCTGCCAAAATAATTCGTATCACATCTCTTGAAGCGCTTTGCCATCAACGAAGACGTGTTCTAGCTTCTGTGCAGTGTCCCGGTTTAAGCTCTATAATCTAAACCCTCCGTTCACTCTGAATGTAGGGCCCCGGAGAGGGGCATCTGCGTGGTTCGGTCCTCTAATGTTGTCTCTGAATGGAGATAGGGGTTTGGAACGGCCAAATTTCTATCCCCGGATTTTATCAAGCTACGCACACCCATGTACTCAAAGCCGTTCGCGCCCTCAGGACAGGTCTCTAGGAACCGGGTTTATGAGGATTCTGGACAATTTGAACTTATAACTGAACGTAGTCAGTGCCACGGCAAGGCCTCAATGACAAAAACATGGGAGGCAAGTTTTTGGATGGACGCTGCCTTTGACTCCATGCTTTTTGAGGTGGTACAGGTGGTACACATTTCATATGGAAACGCCACTTTAATCAGTTATCCTTCCGTTGTTAGATAGCTAGGCTGCGTTTTTTGGAAGTCAGTAATGCTTCGTCTGGGTATATATAGGAAAAAGTCGCTAATATTAGTTGCTTCAGATAGAGTTCTCAAATATGGCCCTACAGTCGCGTCAAATCATCAAAGACAACAATCTCGATAATATTATCACTGTAATCCAGTCAAAAGTTGAAGAAGTCACAGAACTTCCAGATGGAGTTGAAAAGGTATGTGAATGTCGTCATCAATCTGCTTATGCGCATTATCATTTCTTTAGGTTGATATCATTGTGTCGGAATGGATGGGTTATTGCTTATTCTATGAATCTATGCTCAATACCGTTATCTTCGCTAGAGACAAGTGGCTGAAAGAAGGCGGATTAATTTTCCCGGACAAAGCAAAGCTGTTCTTGTGCGCGATTGAAGATAGGCAATACAAGGAGGACAAAATCCACTGGTATTTATAGTCTTAGTCTTTCTTTTGCTTCATCAAAGCCTTGGGTTATAGGTGGGATAACGTATATGGATTCAATATGTCCGCTATTCGAAAAGTTGCCATCACTGAACCGTTGGTGGATGTTGTAGATAATGCACAAGTTGTCACTAACAATTACTGCTTGAAAGAGGTAAGCATCCATTTGGATGTACGCAGTTTTTCCACCTGTTATGTTTTGCAGATTGATCTCTACACCGTGAAAGTCGAAGATCTCACCTGGAAGTCAGATTTCCAGCTGCGCTGCGCTAGGAACGATTATATACAGGTACGGAGTTTCATGATCCATTTTTATAGCACATATTCCTTCTCCTTTATCGGGATGCTTATTTTCCTTCTTCAGGCTTTGGTGACCTTCTTCACGGTCGAATTTTCCAAGTGTCATAAAAGAACCGGATTCTCTACTGGTCCTGATGTGCAGTACACCCATTGGAAGCAGACAGTTTTTTACCTTATGGTATGATTTTCGTATATCGTTCAGCTGATTGTCAAATGCATTTCGTAATCCAGGATGCTCTCACTGTGAAGAAAGGTGAAGAAATGACGGGTTACTTCTCTGTTGCACCAAATGCTAGGAACGAACGCGATCTCGACTTCAAAATCAAGGTAGAATTTTGTTCGAGTATCAAATTTTAAGCTCTTATAAAGAGTGCCTTTCAGTTCAAGAAAAATGGGTTGTAATGATACCGTTCTCTGTTTATTTGCTATCAGAGCAATTGAGCGGAAATCGTACGGTGTTGCTTCAATCTTTTACGTAGAAGTGCCGAAAAGAGGTCTTTTTAGCAATTCTTGGGGATGTGACGAGGGATAATTAGTGATTTGCAGTAATGTATTACGTGACGTCATCTTGATTAGTCAATAGAGGTCATATCAAAAGTCTCAATGGAGCGTAACTATAGTTTCTACTGGGTCAATTATTGCTGTAGTTGAATGCTGTTTTGACTGATAGTGTTCATTTTACAGATGGAATTCCATGGTGATGTCTGCGATTTGGTCGAGGAAAATATCTATACTATGCACTGATTCTACGAGCATTTCGACTGTATGTGTGTATGAAGTTTGATGTTTAGTTAGCTGGTGTAAATTTTTGCATATGAGCCTGGAATTTCCCGGTTGCTCCACACGTTGTTACGTCATAGTTAAGCGCCGTTACGTTGTTGTTCTCCCCTCCCCTTACGTCCTTCTACTTGATTTCGGCTGTTAATTGATCTTCGAATTCAAGTATTATCTGATGCGGGTTTGCTGCCCCCCGTTGTTATCTGTGCGTGTGTGCGCCCTGCTCGTTTCCTTTACAATTGCACAAGTTGCCACCCTGTACTGTTAAATGCTAATTATATAAATATTAGGAGTGGTCATATGTTGTAGCTGCACTCAGAAAATGGTTATATATATCCTCATATACATATGAAACGCTTGTATTATCAATTTAAGCGGTTCGACAGCTCTGATCTTGTGCTTATTTCGGATCTGGGATCTTACGATGTGTCCCATGTTTTCTATCATGCTCCCGTTCGCGTGAATGCACCAAATTTTATGGTAGCATGTTTCTGGATAGGTAGATAGTCAACTATCAGTGGCTTACGCAGGGAAAAAACTTCATCATTTCTGCTGAAGCGTATGGCTGTATTTAACGAAATGTTTTGAATGTTAGACAGATATACAAGTAATTTGTTGATATATTGAGTATTTTCGGCGCACTCCTTCTCCCCTCCACTCGAAAATTTTTGCGACTTTTGATTGTGGAAAAGTTGAAAGTTTGAACTTTGTTCATTTCCGATTGTGATAATGAGGAAGTTCCGGAAGGTTTTTTTCAACTTGTCATCGTCTGATTACGGTGGAACTTATAGTTAGCGATGTTCCGTATAATGTAAATTATCAGTGATGCGACTAACTTATGGCTGAGACACCTTTTCGAGCCGTGCATTTTGAATTCTGCAAGTTACACTGACTCGAAATTACAAAACTGTGTTTGTTTCGACAATTGATAGTTCTATCAATCTTAGTGCTAATCGTACGGTAATCAATCTGTTCACCAGGATGTATCCATCCGGATCCAGCACATTCAGTGGTGGACCGGGTCCTGTCCGCAAAGGAGCGGATATATCACTTGAAGCAGTAAATGAGTGGAAAATACAAGAAATCGGTTATGACGGAGTAGAAAAGTATATAAAGTGAGTACATTCGTTCTGGATTTGTGAGTTTGTGATCTCCAGTATTCGCGTTTTAGACCACCATCGTTTTCTGACAATGTTGGTAAACTAGCCCGACAAGTGGACTGGCAGAAGTTGATAGGATCAGATGCCGTTTATGATAATCCAAATGCGGTGAAGAGTGAAGCGGAAGATGAAGAAGAGGTGATTATCTATCAGACCATGATTGGAATTCTTCACATATTTTTATGGTTCCTTTCTCTGTTACTCCTGGTTTGCATGAATTCTTTTTCGCTATTTTCTGCGATGTTCCTTGCTTATATGGAAAACGGTGTTACAGACCGTTGAAACAAAACCAGTCGAGATTGAAGAGCGAGTTGTTCCAGAAGCTGGACCTTGGCACAGTGTCGCGAAATACCTTCAGTAAGGTGTTGAGATAACTGAGATTCATATAGTCTTCAATTATCCATCATAGTGAGTCCCTGCAACAGTTCAACGTACTCCTTGACAATCTTGCTATCATGCGAGCCACTGACTACATGAAACCACTGACAATCCTTGATCCTATACATGCGGAATCTGCACCAATGCAAGCTGAGAATGCGGCGGCTAGTAAAGCTACTCAGTGGGTGTGGAAAAGAAAGGTAGTAATCACCAGGCGGGCTGAGGGTCTGAGTGTATATACCATCACTTTTCCATGTAGGCTCTACTGGAAGCAATGAGAGTTCTAGAGCTAGCACAGGGACTCAGGAACGTAGAGGTGGAAGACGAGGCACATCAGCAGAAGAGCCAGTTTTTCATGTAAGTGTGCTAGCTCTATTCACACTTGTTTGCACTTATTTTTTCGGATGTACTGTTAAGGGAGTTGACGAAGATGCGTGAATACTGGAGGGTCCGAAAGACGGGTGATCATATCTATGGAGATTTGGGCTATAGGATATGTGAGTGAATTCATCTTGGATTCTATGTCTCACTTGTCTTATTGTTTTTCTTCCCATATTGCCACATCCATCACTCTGAGGTGGTGAAATTGTTTTTGTTATTGAAAAAGTTCGATATCTTCGAAAATGTTCTATATGAATGAACATGTATTTTTTCATTTTGTGTATTCATAAGTCCCTATATGAAGGTTGAGTTCAATTACAAGTGTTTAGTCGGGTCGAAATATAATGCAAGAGAGCTGTTCGACATCACAAGGAGATCTCTCACACCTGGAACGTCATTTGACGCGAATACCTCTGTTTTGCAGGTTGGTATTCCGAAATCTAGTCATCCATTTCTTCCTTCTCGATTTCTATTTTGTAGGTCTCGGTGCCTCGTGATCTCACCCGTCGCTCGACATTGGCTGTGACGATTGTGAAAGGTGCACTATTCCCGCCAGTTTTTTTGTTCATTTTCATTTCTTTTACATAATTTCGCCATCTTATGGTTTCAGACGATTACACTAATCGCGATTTGTTTGCTAGCCTTGATGATCATCAGTTTGAATATATGAAGGTGGATAGCAGCAAAATAGAGTCGATACATTGGGCAGATGCGTTGAAGTGGGCACAAGAGACGCTTATATGCAAGGATATCTTCAATACTGTAAGCAAGAGATTTGCTTGAGTCCGTTCATGAGGTGTCTTAACCCAGTACCTCAAAGCCGTGCATTTTCAGCTATGCTCCGATGCTGTACAACTAAGAAATCGTCTATCAACAGTTCGTGACGGCGTGCTTCTCGTCAGGCTATACAATGAGTATCTTTTGCGAGTGGAGCTGAAATATCATCCTTTCAAAGTTAGTCCTCCTTTCTGGATTTGAAGTATATGTCAGACGAGCGTCATATTATCTGTCTGCAGGAGGGCGAACTTGTTGAAGAAGGATGCCCTTACCTCAACAGATCTTTGAGGGAAATGATGGTCGCACAAGAATGTACTCGATGGGTCCGTCCGCAAACGTTTGTATCGCTGCCATTGACGACCCTTAGTGAGGCTCTCGATGCACGTGGTCCAAGAGCATTCACTGCCCGAGAGGTGCGTATTGTGAACAATTTTCTCAAAACCATTGGTGTTTCAAGGATTCGTTCAATACGCTCAGAATTGTTCAAAATTTTACATGATACTTGAATTCTATCCCTGCGAGTTAGTAGCAGGCGACAAAATCTCAAGTTGAATCCATCAAGTAATTTTTATCTAAGCCCCTTTGCGTAGTTTTGCACACTTATTCATGCTGGAGTGTCAATCTTAGAGTCTGTAAGTAGTTTTGGTGAAAACTGCGGAAATCTAGAAAGATCTTTGCACACAGATGGTGCATTGAGCTCTTGAATTACCTTCATTAAATACTTGAAGATTCTTGATTCCCTTTACATTTTTTTCTCCAGTTTGTTGAGACAAGTAACATGTTGCTTAATCATCATTGTCTTTCAGATAGAAAGCAGAGCTTATAAGCCTCAGTTCTTATTAGAAAAATTGATCACGGTGGCATCTCACTATTCTTTGGTGAAGATGGCACGTGAAACATTGGAAGAATTCATGAGCGCAACTCGCGATCCGCAGGTAAGAAGTCCGTTCCCTTCATCCAACTTTGCATCAAATGCCTATATCAAGGTGCATTGGCGGTGGCTGCGTTGTTCTCCAATCAGCTCTCAGTTCATGGTGATAATGACGAATCGGAATTTCGATTATGTCGTTGGGAAGTATGTTTCGCATATGTCCTTTTCTATGTTCTTATGTTCAATCCTTATTCTCATATTCAACTCTTTTTGATGGTTTAGAGTCACTTATTACATCCGTGTGACAGCCGATGCTATCAGCTTGATCTCAAAAGACGGACACAATATGGACTGTTACCGTGATCCTCATCAACTGATGTATGCTCTCAAATACATGGTGTGTCACTTTTTGATCGCGAATACGTCTCTTCGAGTAGTTATTTTCTAGCCCATTATTTTAGGCATGTACTTTTTCCGTCACATCCATATCAACCCTGGGAAAGGTGATGTGGTTCTATCAACTTCTACATGCAAATATGAATGCGACTGATGAGCACGGAAGGCCAGCGCCAACCTTGTATATGCTCAATCCGGATGCTACCATGTAGTTTATACTTCGGAGTCGTCCCATGACGTGATAGATAATCATGATTTCAGGGAAGTTTTTGTACGATTTGGGATTGATCAGAATCCGTTGATACAAGTGAGGAAGTTCCAGGGAGCTACAAAAGTGAGTTTAAGGGCCGCATGCACTAACATCCCCGCGGGGAGGGGATCGCAGCTTAAAAGAAAGCTTTATATTTCGAAACTCCAGATACCTGGATTTCACGTTGTGTACCTATCCGTAAGTATTCCTACTACCCTTCACTATGAACATGTTGAAGAGGAGCGAGAAGCTGTACGAACCGCATTTTCCAGCTTTTGTGTGATCCCTGATGATCCCCGGCGCTTTTCTCCAAAGTCATTTTTCTTTCTACGAAGTTAACGAATAACCTCCAAAGTTGTGCAGATTATCTAACCCGTCAGTGCTAAGCATGTTGCTGATAAGAACAAATGATGTTTTGAAGTCATGAAATTTTCGATGATCCACAGGTCGAAATTTGAGGTTTACCGAAAAATTCGATTTTTCAAAAACTCATTTGTTCTCATCAGCAACTTGCTTAGCACTGTTGTGTTAGATGTTCAGTACAACTTTGGAAGGCTTTCGTTAACTTCGGAGAAAGAAAAATGACTTTAAAGAATAGCGCCGGGATCATCAGGGATCATACAAAAGCTGGAAACTGCGGCTCGTACAGCTTCTCGCTCCTCTTCAACATGTTCATAGTGAAGGGTAGTAAAAATACTTACGGATAGGTACACAACGTGAAATCCAGGTAGGAGTTTTAAAATATAAAGCTTTCTTTTAAGCTGCGATCCCCTCCCCAGCGGGGAGGTTAGTGCATGCGGCCCTAAGAATTGTCTGATGAGTAGAGGTCTTATTTTTGTTACAATCTTGTTCTCAAATTTTTGTTCCATAGTCGAAAATATCAGCTATGACCGCTTACGCGATTTTGCTGCAGCTAGGCTTTTTGCGGTTATCACTTAAAGGCACCGTCCACCCGAATTGGGGTTGGTGAGATTATGATATCTAGCAGATGCGGGGCCCCAACTGTATGACTGCCCAACTCGCGCTGCCTGAAGTTGCTTCCGAACCGAGAAAATTGCTTCGGAAATCGCTTCATTCCGCGTTCGCGACGCTGGCTCTTCCTCTTTCGGAGTGGGCGTGACGTTCGTCCCGCCCATCCGGCGCCTAACCAATCATTGTACCGAAGAAATCGCTCTGCGGGTTCTGAAAACGGGGTTTTTCGTGGTTTTCGCGGATTTTCAACTTGATATTCGGAATCAGGGGTATGAGAAGGCCCTGGAACGGCAAAAACATGGAGGTCGAATTTTTGGGTGGACGGTGCCTTTAAGCTTATGATAACTTATGAGATTATATATCTTGTCGTTGTAGTTGTGTACTGAGCTAGAGTAACTAATCGATCTGTAATATAACACCGGATAAGCTCTCATTCCAGTATGACGACCAAGTGCACATTCCATTCACAACGTTGAATTATGATCGATTAAGAGGAAGTACGTTATGTAAAAAGATGGATAATCTGTTCGCCGCATTTAGAGATATCGATGATTGATGTATAGCCGGATTGGATCCTGCACAAATTGTCATGTATATATTGTTTCTTTGCATTGCTGAATTATGGGTTCTGAAGAATTTTTATCATAATTACTTCTATGTTACGAAAATCATGGAAATACAACAGTCAAAAGCATCATATATGGAGCATCATATGACTTAGGTGCTGACGTGTGGAATGTTTGCGAATAAGGCAGGTTACAATGTGAACACGATAATTAGAATTAACATCGGCGGGATTTTTTAAAGGCAGCATCCAGGCAAATCTGGACATATGGGGATCTCACGTGGATAGTAATTTTGGGGGCTAACTAGGCCACTGCCGAAGTTGTAACAATCGTCACTGGCTTATTCAGGTGGAAGATCGGTAGTTGGTATCTACATTGTAAGAAAATTCAAGATAGTGTGTCTTAACTCCCGCAGTAATCTTTCATTCGAATTGGCAGTCACAATATCGCTCAGTACGATATTCGGAAACAATGGGCCACGAAAGCTCCATGGGCAGAGTTTGCGGTTAATCCAAGATTATCACTATTTTGGACGAAACTCGTTGGCGAGCTTCAAGGCCAGAACGAGAAAAATTAAAGGGCCCGAGTTTGAGAACATCACAATGAACACATATGCTTTGTAAGTTAGCGTCTCAAAGGCAGCATGCGCTCAAAATCTGGTCTCCCTAAATTACTACTTATCCTACTAGCGGGCCCTAAAAATAGACCAATCGCGTTGGTCCGGTCTCCCAATGTTCCTACAAAAGGAGACAATGGACCGGATCCTCTTCGCGCCCCGCCCGTTTCTTTTTGCGCTCCATCCACCCACAGATTGCCCGTGCGTGTTCGGACATGAAGCAAGGTCGAGACGCATAGTCTGTGATGTGGCACTGTTGCACACGACGGGGTTTCCTGTAGCATACGACGTGACTAGCGCCGGGGCACTCGTCTACGTCGGCCAAACTGGGGCTTCAGAAAGGGGCAATTTTAATAGGTGATTTGAACCTCATATCCGAAATCAGCGCCATGGAAAGGCCCGATAACAATAAAAACATGGAAGAAGAAATTTCGGGTGTACGCTTCTTTTAAGGTAATTTTTACGATAAGTAGTATTTGGCAGACAAGAATTTTCCAGAATGCACGTGCCATTCTTTCTCTTTTCGGAATATTTTCCAGTTAGTTACTAGCGCTTGATACTCTATGAACAAGTCTCTCGAATCTATCCTACCAAAGTCTCATGTGTGCTGTGCACTGCGTAATACCATTGCGAAAACCGTTTCGTACAAAAGATCAAGAAAAATAACGGGTAGGGGCGTGGCTGACGCGACGCCCCCGAAGAAATCTTCTTAAAGGCTAACAGAAATTAAAACTTATTTTAATCAATCACGAGTATAAACGAGTCACTTGCACATTTTTACAACTCATGTAAGCAACCAGTGATTGAGTTCAAACGTGATATGCAAAGTCCACCAACTTGCTGATATGGATGTCTTAGGCTTTGGAAACTGTAGTCGACTAACTATTCGATAGTTTTACCTGAGTAATCTATCGTCGCAGTGACAACAACTTATTTACTTTCAGTATTGAAAGTTTATATAACCGATAACCTACTAGCAGTTACCTAACGAAAATTTGGTGCCAAGTAGCATTTCTGAAGATTTCAATATTTACTATTGTGTCTTGTAAATAAGTTTCTCAACCGGTCATTAGTCCGGAATGGAGGCGCAACGAATAGTTATCCGTTGCCTCATAATCAGTCCATATCACAGAAAGGAAGTGGAGTGTATGCAGTGTGCATTGTAAACATTTTTTAAATTATCTCATAAACAAGACTGCAACTGGGGAAGTTGAATGATTTATCATAATCAAGGATGGAAGTGGTTCGAATATACAGGCATATTCTTGCAATAAAACACATTTCACTTTCCGCATCCTCCTCCACACGATGGTGCCGGAGGCGGGCAGCATGGTGCTGGTGGTGGGGCTGGAGGAGGACAACAGGGAGCTGGAGGTGGGCAGCAGCTGCTATTGAAATACATCACTAAGAATTTATATACTTTTCAACAAAGGAAAACTTACCCGCCACCGCCACCGAGACCGAAGCCGAAGGCATTAGCGTTGGAGAAGAATAAGAACGAGCAAAGAACAAAGAAGACGAATCGGAACATCTGAAATAAGGTTTTTTAACGGTTAAGCATAATTTTTCTTATTTCTGAGTGAAGGAGGAACGTGGTGATTTGATGGATGTTGTTGCCACCTCACATCTCCTTTTTATATGTAGGATATTCGGTCCTCTGCGAGTCGCGCAAGTTTCTATGCGCGCCGCTAGACTTTTATGGGTGCAATTTTAGAAATCTGGTTAGTGAATGTCTTGGAGGATATATCCAGATAGCTGTGGAGTGAGAATAAATCAGTAAGTAAGCATAACAGAATTTGGGTAATCACGAGTCGTAAGATCCATCTTGACTAGCTAAGGTCATTGCTTTATTGGGTTCATATTTCATTCAGTCTAAAGGGAACTGTGAGGATACGTAGTTTGCGTGATTCGTGTAAGGTCACCGCACTTCCGCGCACTCAGGTGAATTTCGGCGAAGTGCGCCACGGCTACTTTTCTGGCGAATTATGAGCGGCATTGTATCGGGGTGAACGATAAAAAATGGGACACTTAGAAGTTAACGGTAAAAATGGGACGCTCAGAGATTGCTGTAGATTTCTCATGGAAGAGAAGTGATTGAGCTTTCCAATCTTGATGGCTATTACATAAAATATACAGTGTGTCCCAAAAGTAAGTGCACACTTTTCAATTGTTAATATCTCACTTCACTTTGCTTCTTTTTCCACCTTTTAATTACCATTCTGTAGAGGAGGCTTCAACTTAAAATTGCAGTATCGAGCGAATCACCAATCGCCGCTCATTACTGTAGGATTACTGCAGGAACTTCGACAAGGATTTTAGGCCATTGGAAGCCATATTCTGGCTTGGAACAAAACTAAACGAGCCGAATACCCTTGTGCTATGGTTGTGGAAGCCTCTGATTTGGAATATGAAATTTCCTTTACTGTGATGCTTCTTTCCAAAGTTATCCCAGGTAAACCGTTATAACCGAAATCCCAGTATTTGTCAGAAATGTGATTGCACCGTCAAAAAAGCTGAACACACTCGTAAAAAGTTGTGTAGTGGAATCAGCTTGCGCGAAAACCCTAGTACACAATTTTTCAAATTTTTGAAAAAATTATGCCAGATGGCAAATTTCTCAATGATTCATGCTGGAAGTTCTTACCGTAATCCCACAGTAACGAAATACGATCGGTGATTCGCTCGATACTGTAAATCTAAGTTGAAGCCTCCCCTACAGAATGGTACTTGACTGGCAAAAATGGTACTTGACTGGCAAAAAAAGACCCGTAGGGAAGAGAAATATTGGCGATTGAAAAGTGTGTACTTACTTTTGGGACACCCTGTATTATTCTCTTCCAGACAATGCCTAAATAAGGTCATTTACATCTTATATATAAAGCTGAATGTCTGTTTGTCTGTCTGTATGTCTGTATGTGTGTACGTATGTTCGATGTTGTTGGCAGAGGGGTGTAATCGAGCATGCTGATCACCCCCGTGGGGGGTGATCAGCATGCTCGATTACACCCCTCTGCCAACTCCCAGCCCCGTAGCTCAAATTTTGCAAAAAATCGATAACATCGACATCGATCGATAACAAAAAGTGGACTGTGACACCCGCCGGGGCCCGAAGTGTATGTGTGCCAAGTTTGGTCCGGATCGGTTAAGAAATGGAAATTTCTATTCGGAACATACGGCGGAGCCGGGTAAGCCAGCTAGTAATTAATAATTACTTGCTGAAATGCAAAGTTAGTCACTTCGACAAATTATTAGCTTCGAGCAGTATCTGCGCAATGGAGCACATGAGACCATCCAAGGTACCACTGCTGCCATGGGTGTTGGGACAGTTACCGAACTCACGATGGTTTGCTTGGGCTTAGCGCTCAAAGTCAGGAGGTATGATTATAAGCAGTTTCGAGAACTAAGATGGGTGTTATTTATTTCTTTGCAAATGAACCCACTCAGACAATGAATGGGATACCTCCGAAGCGAAAGTGGGAGGGTCGGGGCTCTGCCCAGCGGGGGTTTGCCACTCATGCTCCGGGGCCCTCTCATTTCACATTTTGGTGCTCCGGGGGCACCTCCAAATCTGGCGCATCACCGGAGCAAAGATCTGCGAGCCCCGGGGAGGGGTCCCATTCGCCTTCTTGTGACGTCACAAGAATACTGGGCAGAGTCCGCACTCCCTCAATTGTCCAAGTTTCCGGCTAGAATCTGATAGGGTTTTACATGCTCTATCCATCCATATGCAGTTTACTTCAATTTTCATTTATCTCGGAAATTGTAGATGGAAACATGATTTTTTGGTTTTTACATCGCGCCGAAAAATCGCACTTTTCAAGATTTTTGCTTTTTTCCCCTATAAATTTAGAGGAATTTTATATATGTAGTATAGAATTCGAAAAAGTATGAAGAGCTCTTTCGAAAGTGCGTCATTTGCTTTATGACTTTACGGTATAGCAGCGCAAGATTCAGATGTGTTCAAAAAGCCGTGTTTAAGTTCTTCGAGGCGCAACGCATAGGGTTATGGGAGAGGCGTCGAGGGCGACGCGTTACCAGAATAATAGGCAAAGTTCGCTTATGTAAGCGACGCTTAAGTTGCAGCTTGATTGCTGCCGTTGATCGAAACGAAAAATCTCAAAATGTAATCATCAAGCATTTTTTACCGTTCACCCTAATATAATTCTGCATGCATTTGTCCATTTCGAGTGGATTCCGTAAGTAGATTATAAGCTAAGCGAGCAAACTATAACACCGCGGCGCCTGCTTGATTAATATACGATTGTATTAGGTTGTCCGGAAACTAATGCAGGTTTTGAATTTCAACCGCAATAAGTCATACACTTCTCATTTCTAAACAAGTCGCAAACTACCATTCGATAGAGCAAAGCAAGCTCTACAAAATGGCTCCCTAGCAATAGCCTTCATCCACCATGAGTTTCGAGCCAAAAACTAAAAAGATTAACCGCCCGAAAAACTGAGAAAGATCGTAACTCAGTTCATAAAAGTCCTACAAAAATTCTAATCTGTTC